AAAGCTCCACCCTGTTTTATTGCATATCTGAAATTTATGCTCATAACTTATGATCTCACATACACACTGAAATGGTTTCATGTTAGCCAATATAGCCGTCGCAATTTGATAGATATGCCACATTGCAAATTGCTCTTGGTAGTTTTGTTCTTCTTTTTGACCAAAGATATCTCCTTCCTCTCCTTTTTGCCAATCACGTTGTTCTTACATTTACATTCATGTCCTCTAAAAATACATTCATGTCCACATACGCGCTGATTTTCAGTGTGATGCATTATTGCCTCTGTTATTCATGTATTTTATCTTCCAAAATTTTTTTGTTTTACAAAAACCCCATGAACGTGTTTAGGTCTGGTGATGTGTTATGAGAGACCTAGAACGCCCACCAATCCTCCAACAATTCAGACGCAACAGGCCAAGGGCCCTAGGGAAAAAGCCTGTTCAAGCAAAACTTGGAGGGTTTATTTGCAGAAAACCCAATATAACATTTTAACAACTTTAACCAAACCTTCATTTGACGATGGTCTCGCCCTAGGACCTCAAATTTTGCTCTCATTTCTCGGCTTTTGTGTGCATTTTTAGTTTCTCAAGGTTACTGGTTGAAACAGGCATCCATGTCACCATATGCACATTAATCTGATTACACCTTTCAGATTTAACCTTCTATAGTTTTGGTTTTTAAGATTTTGAAATTAAATTTGTACTTGTGTTTATGGTCAAAATGTTAAATTTCTGAGCAAAATATAAAAATATAGTTATGAAAAAAACCCGCGCATATGCGCGGGTATTGACCTAGAGTACTTTTTGGTTCTTTTTGTTCTTTTTGGTTTGCAGGAACAAGTCAAGCATGCTGAAAGGCAACTCAATTACCATTGCCGCTGCTCATTACTTGAGGTTAGTGAATTGGATGCATTACTTAAGTTAGGGTTGTGTTTGAAGGTTTCGTTTTATAGAGTGTGATATATAATATCATTTCCTATTTCTGTTGCAGATTTACGACAAGTAAATAACGGATCTACATGGATCTCTTTGGTGAAGAGAAGGACGAGGAAAAGGAAGCCGTCGAGGAGAGGGTGGCTGCTAAGGACTCCAAGAAGCATAAAGAGAGTAAGTCTCTATCTGTTATGCAGTTTGTTAGATTTGATTGGGTAGTGTGGAGAAAAATAAGCTCAATATATTATGCTGGAATGAATTATGAACAAGCGTAGATATTCTACTTGATTGAAAATATCTTTGTCTCTCTCTCTTTATTTCTCTTTACCTCACAACATTCTTATCATCATCATCATCGCCTTTTTCCGTTTGGCTACTTCTTCTTACCAAACCAAACTTCCCTCTTCATCTCGTAGGTAATCGTCGTATATCTATATAATGCCCAGAGAAGTCATCTGGCCTTCTTCTTTGCTCTCGGATTTTTTGCTCTACATTGCTGTTTCCGTGGTGTTCTTTAAAAAATCCAAGGCCCAACCGGTTTCTCTGTTATCACTCACCATCTCCTTCGAACATTTGACCTACATTTCTCATCTCAAAATCGTAAGCAAAACCCTCTGCTTTGATTTCTCATCTCTTTTTCTACTTTCTCTTTTGGTTCATTCCCATTAAAAAAATTGTGTTGTGCTGATATTTTTCAAACATTGCAGAGATTTCTCAAACATGGAAGCCAAGGCATATACCTTATAGGGATTCCAGGGTAACAAGTCTATTGCAAGAGTCTCTTTGGTGGCAATGCAAAGTTAGCAATGGTCTCTGCAATTTCTGCTGTAGCAATTATTTTATCCTCCATCTTTTGCAATCTCTCCTTCATATGTCTCTCAATTTCTCGGTGTTTTTACTATGTGATTTTCAACTTCTCAGAGAAAACTTCTACCATGGACAAAGAGGTACTCCTTCTCGAGCCTGCTAAATTGATGCTATGTTTTGAAGTAGAAGCCTTTACAATTTCTCACTCTAATACAAACAAAAATCATTTCAGGGTCGGTTCCTCGTGGACTTGTTGAGTTAGTACAAATCGTATTGCGAATGTGTCCATACATTACTTGCAAGCCACGAAGGAAGAAAATGTTTCATCCTTTGGTTCATGTTACTTAAATTAAAGCATCTCCACTTCAAAACGCTGCCTCATCTTACCCTGGTCAATTACTAGCTTCCGAGTAAGTGTTACATCTAAAGCTTATGTGCAGTTCAATTCCTAATACATAATAAAAAACACATTTACTAATACTACAGTAGTCTCTGCATGCTGCTGCTCCAGCTGCGTCTCTTGTTGAAATCTTAAATTATGTGCTCCTATTGTAGATTAAACCATCAAATATTGACCTTAATAAAGTGGGATTATTATTGTATTGAACAATGCTTTGTCGATCTTGTATTACAGACTCTAAGGCTGCTCCTCGTAGACTAACATGGTTTTAAAACAAGAAGAGTTTGGTCTGGAAATTTCCACTACGTTTACGAATTTCCTTTAAATTGACAATACGTACCTGCAGCTGCTGAAGATGCTGACGACATGGAACTCTTAATGAGGAAGAAAAGAAAGCCGTCGAGGAGATGGAGGCCGCTAAGAAGGACAACCAGAAGCCTAAAGAGAGTAAGTCTCTGCCTGTTATGCAGTTTGTTATATATTAGATAGGGTAGCGTGGAGAAGAATAATCATAAGTTATTCATTTTAGCAAATTTTCCGAATAACTTGTTCCTTGTGTTCATGATATCAGGCCCATAGAATTATATATTCCCCTTCTAGACAACTTTTTCGAATAAGACTAAAGTTCAAACTCTTGGAGAAGTCTTGCTTATTTCAAATTCTTATTCGTCTTAACATTGCTCAGATTCAACGCCTACTTCAAACTCAAATAATATTGCTAAGGCGATAGCAAGCAACGACCTTTGGCCCATGAGTTGTTGCTTTGAGTTTCTTAGCTAATTGAACTGCTGTAGAAGACATGAAGATATGGGGGTAGAACTATGCTTGTTAGGGGAAAGAGAGGACATGATTGGAGAACTTTGAGGTTCAAGCTTGGTTTATGTCAGGAGAAACTGTTTACAAAGGCTAAATTGCATTATGATAGTGTAGAGAGCAAACTACACTACTTTGAATTGATTATTTGTAGAATTTTAGAATACAATTCTCATAACCAAAGTGAAGTTGACAGAGTTGCTCGGCCAAAATAATTGATTATTTGTCTTCGAATATATGGAGAAGCATGTCTTCGAAATAAGTGATATAATAGGAACCATTTGTGAGTAGTTGGAACTCGGAAACATTGTGCCTCAAGCTGATTCTTTTAAAGCTTGAAGAACATACCCTTTCAAACTTGGACCTGTACCCAAGATTCTGAGGAGAGTTTTTTAAATTGGGGATCATGAATGATATATCTGCTGCCTATCAGGTTGGTGAAGATGCATATGGTTGATCACAACACCACACATCATAGAGATGTAATCATGAATTTTTTTCAAACCATTCAATATTAAAACTTGTGCTTTTTAACTACTACTTTCTAAACGATGTTAAGTTAAGAGAGTGTGTACAAGTGTTAAGTTCATCCACCAAATTTTGCCACATCAACGAATTCTGAATAAGAATTAGAGAAAACACATACATTGTTTGCATCTTTATTGCCCTAGGTGAAGTTTTTATGTATGAAACTCTGATTAGGCACTTTACAGTAGTCTACATAGGAAGACTCAAACAACTTTCTTTTTATCTTGAAACTTATATTGTTTAAAGCCATAAGCCTTAAATGTTACTTATAAATGCACAAAGAAATATTATGTTGTATTCAACCTTCTGATCTGTCTGCTAATCATTAGTTTCGTCCTTTTTGTCACTTCTCAATAAAACATGGATCAGCTCAACCTCTTACTCTCCTTCTCTAATGCAATTTTGATTAGAGAAAATGGGAAAGTGTGTGTGCTCCCGAGAACCATGTTTCTTATGGTTTAATAATCCAAAACAAAATGAATGCTCTTTGCTTCCATGTTCTACATTGACTAATCCTCTTTTCATTATGAATTTCAATAGTTTCCATCTAAACGGCTGCGTCAATATTGATTAGGATCGTAAGCTTATATGCATGTTATGAAATTTACGATTTATTCAGAACATCATTTTTTAATCATGTTTCTAAATTAGAGCCAGAGTTTCGTCAAGAAAATGGTAAGTACTGGGTTCCTCTTAGTATATTTATTACCATATCAGGTTACTCTATAATGAGTCTCACATCGAGCAACTGGTAAGATCAACTTTATGTTTTTCCCCACTACATGTGTGAAGATGGAGGTCTTGAATGTTGGAAAAAAGATTCACAATCTGCCTTCCAAAGTAGATATACGATATTATAGCTCGACCGTCAGAACAAGATAGATAAAAAACTTAAAAGGAAACTGTTAATGAAAGAAA